TGAAGGACAGGAAGGCCTGGCGCAATATGGTTCATGGGGTCACGAAGAGTCGGACACGACTTAACGACTAAACAACAACAAGGAGGATGGTAGAAAGCTGCCTAACTGAAAACAACACTAACAGTAACCCTCTCCATACTTCCAACAAAAAGAATACACTCAAATATGTTTCTTCTTGTGTCTTATCAACAAGGATAGGTTTTGAAATTTCCTTTAGGATTGACCTCTCTGCCCTCATCTAAATAGTAAAATGATGCTCCAAGGAGTATGATAACAGAAAATAGTAACTAAAGCCTAGTTGTAATCTGGATTCACCATATGGTTTCACAAAGAAATCCACTCATATGCAAGAATCTCACAGAGTAGTTTATACTGAATTCTGCTTATGCAGAAGCTTGGCTCTTCCCATGTTTCTGGCTGAACATACATTATAATTTGTAATTTGAACTCCAAACCAGGCAAACCAAATTCAGCTGGGATATCAGCTATCTGATAACTTGAGTAGCAAATTCACCCAAAGCCTGATCTGCCACTTTTTCAACATCCATTAGTTGGCTAGCCTTACCTCAACAAGTATAGTAAAGGCAAGTAGGTTAATGTGCTCTGTGCAGCAAATTATACAAATGAAATCTTAAGATAATTTCAGAACATCAAAAGGAAGCCAAACAATTGTGTCTTTGAGGACACAATTTAAGCTGTCCAGAATGGTGACAGCTTATAATTGGAAATAGCAAAGTAAACAATATATGGGTGCAGTCTCAATGACTGAACATGTGTGCATAATTTTGCTTTCATAAGATAGTGCCTCACCTGCATTTCTCTTCTTAATATGTTTTTCTTATTATTCCAGTTTTCTTTACTTGACACCCTCCAGTTGTTTTGGAGCTACAGCTCCCAGAATTCTCAGCTAACATGGGATTATCAACTCAGCATATCTGAAGGGAATCAAGTTGGGGAAGGCCACATTATTTATTGTTCCAGGCAAGCAATAGGCATACTTGAGTCACTTATGCTAGGTAGTCATGCAGCCATCTGCCTGCCCAAGGTACTGGCTTCAGTGCTCCATTGTAAACTTGCCATGTCTGCTGTTATGGTTGTAGGGTTCATCTCACTGCTAAGGCTTAACTGTAACTCAGTGATAGAATACTGCTGACAGAAGGTCACAAGTCCAATTCCTGACATCTTCAACTACTAGGACTAGGGATGGGATGGGAATTTTTTTTTTTCCCCCTGAGACCTTGGAGAGCTGCTACCAGTGATATGAGGTTCTACAGTATATGGCTATACAGATGAAAGCAGTTCCCTAAGCCATCTATGTTGGATGCTATTCACTAGTGAAGATCTCTTCTTACATGCCACATTTCCTCAAGAACCACCATTTCTACATCCTTATGCACTGTGCTTCATATGTCTTGTGCACAACTATATGTGGATAAAAGTCCAGTAGCACCACAAACACCCACACATTTTGAGAGGGAGATGTAAAAACATGGCTAGATATTAAAATTGTAAATTGATTTTTTAGGGTCTCAGGTAAGAGTTTTTTCCCCCAGCCAAACTTCATCAGATTCTTGTAATAGAAGATGAAACGAATCCTTTCCCTAAACACTCTGCTCAACATGTTGTTAGCATTCAAGATTCTGTGTCTAAGAGTATCTTATACATTTGTGGGGTTGAGCAACATATGACCTCCTCATTTTGAGTAATTCTCAGTTGCCAAAAATAGTCTACAGAGTTGAGGAACTCCTAGTGACAAGGACAGCTTGCTGCTTTCCCATGGCTAGTGACTAAGAATCATGTGCAGGATCACTGGGAGAGAGGGTGATAAGGCTTCCAGTCTTTCTGAGGAAAACAGACTGGGGATCTTTAAGGAGTGGGGAAAATCAATGTATTCTTGTTCCACTAAGAATCCTCCAGATTGCTGGAAGGGTGGGATGGAAGGAAATAAGTGTGTGTGTGTGTGGGGGGGGTCTGTACACATGTGTGCATGCACACAAATGGATACATAGATATTTGTAGACACCCAGTTCTCAACATTATGATCTAGGACAGAAGCAATCTACTGACTGAGCTATTTGGATGCTAAAGTAGGTAGGAGTTACTGCATACTTTCTTGGTGTCAATACCTCAGTGCCACTGAGAGAAATTAGAGTCCTTGCTTCATCAGAGAACAGTGGGTTAGGTGTACAGAACAATTATAATTACTTATCCAGGAAGGTAATTTGGACAATGAATAGTGAGAAAATACAGTTCAGAGTCCATTGCTCCAACTTACAGGTGAGGTTATTGCTACAGGTGAAGTTATTGATATGAGATCTGACCTCAAATTACAATTGTAGATTTCCACAAGAAGAAAAAGTTGTGGTATCTGCATAGATGTAAACATGTGTGAGAATACTTTATGTTTTGTGTCAAAAACTTTCTTCTGAATAGAACACAAATGAGGATAGAACACAAATAATTAGCACAACTCAATCTAGATTAAAAATTGAAAGCATGGACATATATCTAACAATTGAATAATAGATTAAGTGCCAAAAAGACAGATAATCAGCTATAGACAAGTTGGTTCCTTAACATTTCTAGCATTTGTCAGATGGAAGCACCTAGCCAACTTTGGCTGATCTTGAAAAAGCTAAGCAGGATTGAACCTAGTTTGTATTTGGCTGGTTGATCACCAGAAAATCCCAGGACTGCTGCCTAGATTGAAAAATTCAAAAAAGGCAAGTGCAGACTGCTTCCATGTTTTTGCCAGGAAATCAACATGGATGTGTTTGTGTAGTTGTTAGGAGTTGAACTTGACTTGAGGGAGACTTTTTAACTTGATTTTTAAATGAAACTTTAAGCAGTCACAATATATTTCAGAGAGAGAGGAATATAATTAACATGCACATTTGTACATCAATTCTGTATTGGCCTATGAGTATAAATAAATTTGTTCCTTATTTACTCTTGGTAACTATTCAAAAAAATTGATTAGATTCCTTAGGAAATCTGGATTTCACAGTGTTTTTGTTTTGGCAGAGAATGATTGAGTGAATGGGGGGGCAATGAAATTACAAGCATTAATCCAGGAGGATAATTTGCACATTGAGTAGTGAGGCAGTATAGTTTGAAGCCTATGACTTGATCCTACAGATATGCTGTTGATATGGGATGAGACCTCAAATTACAATATTGATTTCTGTGTTGCAATAAACAAGCCCTGGAGCAGATCTCCATGATCCAAAGCACAAGGGGAATGCTGAAGAATTTGGTGGCACCCACTATAGCACAAGAGCAGTACGACCTGTTCAGGAGTAGCCCAAGATGATCTATTGCCTGAGATGGTGGAGGCTCCATGAAGCAAGAGGGACACTTCCACTCCCCACCATTGCTGCCACTATTATTATCCTTCTGGGCACTTCTTTCTCCATAGCAGTAGTAGAGCCATTATTCATCTTCTGCTTGGCAACTAGCTGGTCATATCATGAACCTTACTCTGAGGAGGTTCTTATAGTAACATTGCTAGGAAAGTTGATCGAAGATGGCCAGGTCACCAGTGGGATGTCAAACTGTTCTGGAAAGTGACAAATCTTGGGCATAAGGAATAGCTGCCAAGTAGCAGATTGGGAATCTAGCAGGAAGAATCTTTGCCAAATCCATTATTTGTCTTATTCAGCCACCCAAACTGGCTGCTCAGTTTAGCTAATGGTAGGGTCAGATGCAGAAATTTTTGCTAAACTGGAAAAGAAGTCTGCCTTGAACCAAGAAGGGACCTGAGTATTTCCTAGTTCAGAGGTGGGACACCTGGTGCCCATGGGTGTCAATGCATCACCCACAAATCTTCTGGCATTCCCTAAACTCCTTCTCCCATTTGACTTTTTAAATAATTATTTTAATTAAAAATAAAGTTGAGTGGAATCTGGCCATGCTGCAAACAAAGTGCCAACTTCTAGCATGTTCTTTATTTACAAGTATGCCTCTAGGCCTCTTATGCATTCTTAGAAAATAAAAAAATGTTGGATGGCTCCAGCCAAGTGTTTTAAATGGAAATCTGCCCACCTCAGAAAACAGCCAAACATATGGTAGGACAGAAAAGAGAACATCCCAAGGGAACTAGAGCAGATTGAGATATAAATGTAATGCAATACAATGCAATACAATGAATTATTCAATAATATTGCTCAGAAAGTTAGGGTTGGAAGTAATCTCAGAGATCCTCTAGTCCAACTCCTTTCCTAGTACATGAATCCACTACTATAGCATCCCAGAGAGATAGTCATCCAGCCTCTCTTTAAACACCTCTGACAAAGGAGAGTGCACTGAGGCACTCTGTTGAAGGAAATTGAACAGCTGAACCATTAGGAATTTTTTCCTGATGGACTTCCAATGAGGAGAGTGAACTAGATG